AAGCATTCAAGAAAGATTTGAGAGTTTTAGGAGGTCACCGGGAGGTTCACGATGAAGATTTGATGACAAAAGAGCTCTAGGAGTGGCTACAGGATCAAATGAAGATGAATAGAGCTTGAAATGGCGTTCAGGATTGTAACACCCCCATTTTTCCATCCCAAAATAATACTTGAAATAGTATTAATCAGTAAAAACGTACTTTATAATCATGTAGTTATTGTTTATTTCAGTTTGAGAACATGTAGACATTTAAATTATTTTTGAAATTTTTAGTACTTAAATACTTGGATTATTTTTGGATGGTGGTTTAGCATGTGCATTCGGCTAAGAGACAGTCGGATGTGGCGGTGACACCCCTTTTTCCATTAAATTATTGTTTCCGCTGCATTACTATTTATTTTAATAAAGTACGTTTTTACTGATTAATACTATTCCAAGTATTATTTTGGGAGGGAAAATGGGGGTGTTACAAGGATGACCTTCTATCAATCGTTCAAGCTTATCTTTTTGTAGAAGCATCCAAAGAACACGATTCAAGTTCCATATAAAAGCCAACTTCAAGGGATACAAATCATATGAAGACACCATTGTGAGAATCTTAGAGGAGAAAGGTGAAAACAGACGAAGAAGTCAGATGATCGCTGTTGCGATTTCAGAATGCGACATTCCACCAATTTATACATATCTTTTGATTGGATGATTCAAATCCAGTTTTGCAAGTTGTGATGGATACTACATTATCTACAACTTCCATGAGGGAAGCATCGTCAAATTCGGAGAGGAAACAACGCTGGAGCTACTTCCAGGCAGGCACGTTGTGCCTGCCCGGGAGGCACGCCATGCCAGACCCGTGACGCGCGTTTTTGCTCCGCAGTAGGCATGGGACCGGTTCGGTTCTTACTCAAAATTGGTGGAATCGTTACAAAAATTTTAACTAATGAAATCGGTTCGGTTTTTGTGTAAAAAATCAAGAACCGTTATGGAACCGAACCAATACTAAACGGTTCGGTTCTTACTTTTATCGGTTCCTCGAATAATTTTTTCCTCATCTAATAAATGGGCACATTATTTGCTTTCTACCACATTAAATGTTAAAAAGAAAATCAAACACAAGTATTAAAATTTTATTTAAAGTTCTAATAACTTCAGACATCAAAGCTCAAACTTAATTAAGTGAACACTTAATAGAATAAAAGAAAGTTTCAATTTTCATTTAATAAGTAGAACATAAAAATCTTAGTTAAGATAGGAAGGTTGTTCATCATCACAGTAGCAAGATATGACGTCCACTCCAAGTATTTCAAAACTTAAAAAATATATTGAGTTTGCATGTATAGTTATAGAATTATCATTGCAGTCTATTTGCTAGTAGTATAATTTACAATAAATTTAATAGTTACAAATATCATCAAGATAGTGAAGTAAAATATATGCAATCAACTACAAGTTATTTGAGTTATTTTATATTTATATAATATACTTCGTATGTGATTTAACAAAACTTGATTTTATAAAAATGAGCTTAACGTATTCAATCTCTTGTGCAATATTGATTACTTTTGTTTTCGTTGGTTAAATTAGAATTGTTGGCTAAATATCATTGATTGTACTATTATTGTTATTGTTGATATTGTTGTTAGGAAAAATTGACAAGAATAATCCCACATTTCACTGATCTTCTCATAATAATCCCACCTTTAAATAATCCCAAAATAATCCCACATTTACACCTCATCTTCTTTCATTTGACCCTGACCAAGTTTTTTTACCTTTTTTAAAAATCTTATATAAATAATCTCACATTTATAAGGATATGATTAAAAAGTGAAAGGTGAGATTATTTATATAATTTTCAAAGAAAGAGTAAAAAACATGGTCAGGGTCCAATGAAAGAAGATGAGGTGCAAAAATGGGATTATTTTGAGATTATTTAAAGGTGGGATTATTATGAGAAGACCAGTGAAAGGTGGGATTATTCTTGTCAATTTTTCCTTGTTGTTATTACTATCACTACTATTTTTATTTTTATTTTTTAATAACGGTTACGTGCACATATTTTTTATAGGAACCATGAACCGAACCGTTAATAACAACTAGGAACCGAACCGTTAACAACTAATACCAAATTTGTAGGAACCGAACCGAACCGGGTTATAACGGTTCGGTTCCAACCGGTTCTACGGTTCCCGGTTCCAAAATCCCACCCCTACTGCGGGGTGCAGCAGTGGACAGGGATGGCTCGGCGGCGACGATGGTAGTAGGTGGCCGGGGAGGGCCCCCAGTTGCCGGTGGAGGCAGCAATGGCAGGGAGTTTGGGGGTTGGGGTTTGTGTTAGCTTTCCGGAGGAGGATGGGCGGCTGTCCAGATGGAGGTGATGGTGTAGTTACTCTGACGATGTCCCAATAGCTGAAGGTAGGGATGGACTCGGTTCGGGCCGGGCCCGGTTCGGGCCTTGAACCGGCCGGGCCTCGGTTTAAGGTATGGGAGGCCCAGAACCGGCCCGCGTAACCCCCGGATCCGGGCCGGGCCAGGCCGGGCCTCGGTTCTATTTTTTTTTTTGGCTTTTCCTAGTTAACCCCCAACCCTCCTCCTCACCCCCAAACCAACCCTAACCACCTCAAATGGCCGAAAATACCTAGCCCAACCCAAAAACTTAAAAAAAATTCAAAAAAAAAAAATGGCCCGGCCCGGGCCCGAACCAGCCGGGCCGGTTCACCTTTTGAAGGGCCCGAGCCCGAACCGCCATCCCACCGGGCCGGGTGGCCCGAACCGGCCAACCAACCGGTTCATCGGGCCGGTCCGGGCCCGCACAGTAGCGGACTGGTCCGGTTCTGGGCCGGTTGGCCCGGCCCGAGTCCAACCCTAGCTGGAGGTGGAATATCACTGTGGCCAGCCGGAGTCGATGTGTCACTGTGACCGGAGTTGACTTGTCATTGTGGTCGTAATCGGCATATCACTGTGGCGCTGTTACCGGCAGCGGTGTCAATGTGGCAGTGTCACCGGCGAAAGTGTCACTTTGGCGACGATGTCACTATTACCGATGTCACTATTACCGATGTCACAGAAACGGTGTGTCACCGTGGATGTTGTCACTGGAGTTTGGCTTTGGAGATAATTTAGTAAATTTAATGCTTATTAGTCATATTTTAGGAAATTTTAAAAACAGGTCATATTTTTGTCAATTATCCACTTTTTAGTAATATTGAGGTCAAAACTCCCATACTAATTTCACCAATATGATCTAAATTCTTTGACGGCCGAATGAGATTACTACTACGTACTCGTACTCCCTCCGTCCCTTAAAACTTTGTCATCTTTCCTTTTTGGGACGTCCCAAAAAACTTTGTCACTTTCCCTTTTAATCAATTGTTCTGTGGTTTCTCTTTTTTCTCTCTCCTCTGCACAAATCTCAACCACACAGTTTTTACTTTATTATTCTCCGTGGCAGTCAACTTTGGCAAAGTTTTAAGGGACGGATGTAGTATTATATTAAGGCCGAAAAATCAACCTACTCATCCCTAATATAAAAATCGGACACTGGCATTTTTTGTGGGCCTAGGGCCCCCACCCCTGCTGCACTCTCCTAGGGCTGCCGCTGATTGCTATTTAGAAAACGTTCAAATTAACCCGGCATGTTTTTACTCCTAGTTATGACAATTTCTTTTAACAAATTTACTAGAATAAAAAAGTTCAAATTTTTCTTGCAAAAAAAAGTTCAAATTTTCTTATACGGAGCAATACTTCAGTCTTTAGAAGTTTAGCACAATTTTAAAATATCAGTACGTAGGGTTGGATTCGGTTCGGGCCACCCGACCCGTGACCCGGCCCGGCCCGGTACTGTGCGGGCCCGGGACCGGCCCGGTCGGGCGGTCCGGGACCGGGTATGCACCCGAACCGGTGGGAATGGGCGGGGCGGGCTCGGTGCTGGATTAATGTGACCCGACCCGGCCGGGTCGGGCCCGGGCCCGGGTCCGGTCTTATTTTTAAAAAAAATTGTTTGGGCTCTTGGGCTACTAGCCGTTGGGGGTGGGGCTGGGGACAACCCAAACGGCTATATAGCCGTTGGGTGGGGTAAAGGGGGGGTCCGGGGGGGTCCGGGGGGGTTGGCTGGTGGGGGGTGGTGGGAGGGGTGGGGGTAAAAAAACCTATAAATACTCCTAATCTTAAACATTTTTTCATATCTCTTCTACAATTCTTACTAAATCCTATTCTTAACTCTCTACTCTCTAATTCTCTTATTCTCCAATATATTATATTTATTATTTATATATCTACTTTATAGTTTATACTTAAGAAGTTAAGATGGAAAATCAAGATGCCATTATACGGTATAATTTTGATAAGCAGAAGGACCCGAAGACCGGGATGTGGTACGCAATTTGCAAATGGTGCGAGAAAAAATGTAGCATGAGGGTTTCTGGCGGATTCAGGATGGCAATCAAGCATATGAAGTCATGTGACAAAGCCAAAGGATCGGGAGGTGCGGGAAGTTCCGATTGATTACAATTTTCAAAATGTTTATCTCTTAAAGTTTGTTTTAATTTTCAAATGTAGTTCCTATTTAATTTCAAATAAATGCAATTAAAGTTTGTTTTTAATACTCGTATAATACTCGTATAAAACTATAAACTATAAAATATAAATTATAAAAAAAAAAGGCTATCCTTGAAATGTATAGATGTACAAAGAGATGGACGGGCGGGAGGCTATCCTTGAAATGTATAGATGTACAAAGAGATGGACGGGCAGGGGAGGGCGCGAGATGAACCTGAACCAACTCATCCTGGCCCGAACAGCGACTAATTCCCATGTTAACACTATAAACAGTCGGCCAAGAAACTGGCCCATTGTCATTTGCCACAACTGACTTTTTTAGTCAACTTCGAGTCAGATTGTTGGTTGGATGAAGAAACAATTCATTTATTAAATTATCTTCATGACCCTTGGATATTATTTCTTGATGAAAGATGGAAGACAAATGCACATATCAAGACTAAATTACCCTCATAAATATGCTCAAAATTATTTAAGAAGTTGACATTATGATTTTCTTGTGACTGACAGTGGCATAGTTGGGATTAAAACGATGAAGACTTGAAAAGCTCCAAATGAAAGGGATTTGAAGTGCTCAAAGTATACCTTACAAATCACCAAATTACCAATCTAGATGGTGCTTAGTTGCAATATTCTGAACAGATCTGACAAATTCATACATATAGTAGAAAATGTCTCTCTCCTTCCGCAAGATTCATCTTCTTGCTTGTGTTTCCTTCCAAACATGTTCTACCGGTCTACTTCCCCTCAAATGTAACATCTTCCGATGTGTACTTGATGAGCTCAAAGCATTACTTGATCCCTCGATGAAACTCCAATCATTAGTTCCTCGCCTTTCACATAACCAAAATCTCAACTTTCTTTCTCACATCGGATGTCTGCTTCAAATAAAAAGAAAGTAGGATTCAAGCTGAGGCAGAAGGCAAAGATGAATAATAATCAAGTCCTATGCCAGCCTATCATTATGATCTTGAGTTTGTAAAATCGAATGGAACACCTCTCTTTGATGACACTGTTATTACACTCGAATCATTTATTAAGCCTTGTCAATTTCCAAGCGTCTCCGCAAAGCAAAACAGCCCATTATTAGTTAGGGTTTATCTGTTTCCAAGTGACTACCCTTCAAATTTGTCAGCAATTACTTGATATGTCTGCATGTCCAAAATAGTTAGACGTGAGAACTGAATGAAGGATTGAAACACAACTGAGAAGATGAATTGAAGCATCCAGCATATCAAGTGACCAATATATGTGCTTGCAAAGAACATTATTCCTAAGAGTTACGACCTATTAAGGTTCCAATTTCCAGTAAGCTGCACTAAACATCACCAATATAATAAAATAAATTAATATGAAGTACTACGTATAACTTAATATTACCGCACTAGAAATTCTGTGGAAGTCCTTTCAATAAAAGAATGGCAGCAGACAGAACACAATATGCAACAGGGCAATTGTTGAATGGAATTCCATACTTTTCAGTAATAAAACCCAGAAGCTGCTGTCCCCAAGATAATAACCTTTTTACTAAAAATAATGGATTTATCAACACAATATGAAAAGTGTAATACTGCTAATTGCATCTCAAGACAACCGCTGCTGATGTTTAGGAAAAATGCATCCTACTGGGGGGCGTAGCTCTCCTGGTAGGATGGGGGTGCCACAAGGGAGAGGTCCCGGGTTCAACTCCAAGCAATGACTTGGGATAGAACCCCGCAAGGGAGAGGTCCCGGGTTCAACTCCAAGCAATGACTTGGGATAGAACTCCGCTCTCTTTCCATCAGAGTGAGATCAAAGCTCAATTTACATCCTCCCAGATAATGTCCCGTCGGTTCTCGGGGGGCTCAAGGATGGTGTGTCATCTCCTAGGCAAAATGCATCCACGCTCAACTAAAAGAATCATAAGTTTGTCTGCCTCATTTACTTTCCCGTCTAACATCAATTTCTCCTTCACAACTTCGCACAACTTTAAGTCAGGAATCAGATTCCGCTTGAACATTCGACAGGCAACCTTATATGAGCATAAAGCATTTCCTTTTTTCAGAAAACTTGCAATAAGAACGTGGCAGGTATTTGCATCGATTCTTGAAGCCGTCTGAAGAGCTTTACCCAAAAGCTTATAAGCCTCGTCAGGATTTCCAAAAGTGCACAACTTTTCAATGACTTGATTGTACACAGTCTTGCAACCTTGTCTCCGCAACATCTTCTCTAACAGCTTTACAAGATCATCTACCCTACCGTGATGACAAAACTGATGAATGACCGTACGGTATGTCACTTGAGTAGGAATCAAACCTTTATGGATCATTTTCTTCGTCATTTCAATCGCCTCTTCAATCCTACCATTCTTTCCTAATGCATTTATGATTGTTGTGTATGTAATAGTATCTGGATGTTTGTTAATCAAATACATGTCATCCAGAACGGATAGAGCCGAATCCAAATTGTTCTTTAAGCAGAAACCATGAATCAAAGTAGTGAAATTTACCACATTTACTGCACACCCTTTTCTCATGCACTCTTCTAAAAACTTCTTCGCCTCAACCATTCTACCCTCTCTACAAAGAGCTTGAACAAGCAGGTTGATTTCAACGGGAGAAGGAAAAAACCCGTTTCCTATCATTTCCCTTGCTATATCACAAGAGTCTGGTAACTTTCCCTCTCTACGAAAACCATGCATCAAAACACTGTAGGTCACAGCATTAGGCTTCCACCAGCCATCCTCACTCATGTTCATAATCTCTCTTGCTTCAGAAGATCTTCCACTTTTACATAGCCCATTCAAAAGAGATGTGTAGGAAACAGTGTTTGGCTTGCAACCATGTTTGTTCATCTGTTCAATTAGCTTTTTTGCTTGACCGACCTCTCCCAAACAGCAAAATCCATTCACGACAGCAGTGTAAGTCACCACATCAGGAATACATCCCTTAGAAATCATCTCATTAACTACCTCTTTCGCCCTATCCATCCTTCCCTCTTTACAGAATGAGTTTACTACTACACTGTACCCAACTTTGTCTATACAAAATCCTCTGGATTCTCCTTCCCTTAAAAAGCTTAATGCTTCCTCGGAATGGTTATGCTTTGAAAACATATGTACAAGAGTTTCAAAAGTAAGCAGATCGGGATGTAAATTACTATCAGTCATCATCTTATCCATTAACTCTCTTACTTCATTGACTCTTTTCTCCTTACACAAAAATCCCATCACAGTGTAGTGACTCACTTTGTCGGGCAGACAACCCTTGTAGGGCATTTGAGCAATAAGCTCCAATGCATCTTCAACACGATGCACATCGCAGTAACCCTTAATTAAGCAATTATAAGAGACCACATTGGGTGTCATTCCAACTGCTTGCATGCGTTCCAAAAACTTTAATGCCTTCTCCAGCTTATTGCCCTTCACCAAAACATAAATTGAAGTATTACATATGCTTAAATCCAGACCTACTCCTGCTTTCTGCATCAAAGTGAGAACCTGCAATGCTTTCCTCATATGTCCAGCTCTGCTAAAAGAAACCATCACATAACCAAAAGCTTCGGGGTGACATTTGATTCTTCTTCGTGACATTAGCCGGAGAACACGCTTAGCTCCTTGGCACAACTTTGTCTTGCTTAGAATTCTAAGCATCTCATAATACACGACCGGGTCATGCCTGTATCGCCATTGCCGGTCTGCCCAATAGAAGAACATCAAAGCAACCCTTTCATCAGATTGAGACCTTAAAACAGCACAAACTTGAAGAGCTGTTAAACTTCTCAATAAACGCCTCAGATCCCCCTCAAGTTTTAGAGTCCATAATGATCTCAACTGAACTAACCTGCATATTTCTTTTACCAAAGGGTGTCCCATTTCATCCTCTACCTCGTCAATTTTCTCTTTACGCAAATTACTCTGCTTTTGATTCCTATCAAAAGAATCCAAAATCTTAAAATCACCACCAATCTCATCATCGTCACTCTCTTCTCCATCTTCCTTTTCTGACTCTTCAGACTCGTACGAATCATCAAATTTACAGCTTTCCCTAACCTCTCCATCACTACAAACCGTGTCTGAAAAACTTGAGTTCCCATACTTTCTACGCCCCATTTCTTGTATTGCAGCATACACATTCCCATATTCACAACAGCATCTGGAGAGAGATATGCTTATATCTTGAGGAGCACGCTGGATCGCCATATCAATAAATGCCTTTACTCTTCGAGGCTGGATGATAGACATACAAATCAACAAAGGGAGAATGAGAGCAAAGAATTCATGCTCATAAATTCACACATTGATGGAATGCTAAATGCAGTAGTTTTCCAAAATGTCAGATTGTCAAGTGTTTACTTTTTGAGTATTAATAACAGTTATTTAATTTGATCCTTTGATAGGGCTATTTGCCACTTTTTCTCAAATCTTACTCCCTTCTCTTGCTCTACATGTCCCTAATTTTTCACTGTGCTTTTTAATCTAAGCAGCAAGGTCTTCTAAGAGATAATCTAAAATTATCTCTTTCACTTCTTCCCCAGTCCTCATGGCCTCATCACGCTCTCATTACCCCAGTTATGGATAGATGTGCTGCTTCAGCTAGCCATGGCAACCAAACAACCATTCTCTCCTCTCACCATCCCATCACCGCTAGATTTCACAACCACTCCCGTCCATCGCCCCAATCTTAACAGTCAACACCCCCAAAATCGACCACGAGATTGAAGGACAAGGCCCACGCCACCACTCCCATCCAGATCTACCAAGAACAGCACAGGGGAGGGGTGTGGGCCACCGGGACGAGGCCTGATCTAGACATACCCACCTCCACCACATTTCATTCACCAATGTGTTTTTCTTTTCAGTTTAGATATAAACAGTTCTTCCTCTCTTTCCATTTGTCTTCTGCAACAACAGATCCTTTAGTCACAGCTGGACCGGTTGGCGGTTGGCAGTGTTTGGTCACTGATAGTCACAGAACTGGGACGTTTAGTCATGGGTGGAGGAGGGTCACTTTTTAAATTCGGTCATGATTGGGACTTGAGAGGGGACCAGACGATAAGAGAACAGTGGCTTGCCGATGCTGAGGTCTAGAGGATAGTAATTCTGTGGCACGGGACAGTGACTCGGGGAGCAAGTGACTTAAGCAGCATAATTAGTTGGTGGAGGTGGCAGCAGCAGCGGTTGAAGCAGTTTTGGCAACAACTGACTTGCACAGGGGATTATGAACTCTTGTTCTAGTTACCATACAAATTTAAATTTGGAAATCATGTTTATATTTAATAAAATTAGCTTGGGCACAAATTTGGTATGAGTTTTTTAGACATTTTGGTTTTATGACTACTACTATTGATATACTTCAGTAAAAATAAAGATTTATATTCTTATCTGCAATAATATAATTAGTTGTATTTCTCACAAAAAGAACCATCTCTTTAATTTAGCATAAAGAGATTTTGTAGTATTATTCTTCATCATATGAAAAACAGTTAGAATTGTAGTAGGATTGTGAAAGATTGCATAGTAAAAACTAAAACATACAGAACAGAGTGCATCCTAGTCTGTATTTCTCAACCATCAAAACAAACATCTAGGGCCAAAACAGAAAATTGGTCTTCAAACTAAATTCTACCTAAAGAATATAAAAGTATTTCTTGATCTGATTCGTCTTATCACAAAAATTATTAAAAATCTTTGAGTTGACCCTACAGCTCTAGTATTATTGAATGTCCAAAAGTGTGTGTTCTAAGTCAACTTCTCAAGGATGAAAATATCTACTATACTAACTTTGTCCCGTTTTACCTTTTTCATCCGTCCCATTAAGTTTGTCTCATACCATATTTGGTAATATTTGGGTGGTTACAATTCGTTCTTATTTTATTCACACTTTATCAAGTCAATACCAAACACACAACTCCACTTTTTATTAAAAGTTGTGCCACACCCTTTGTCCCAAACATCGAGGGACGGAGGTAGTGTAATATAAAATTATACGAAAATGTTCTTTGTTAAAATTGCTTTCATAAAAGTATAAAATTTATAACTTTCAAAATATTATACGGAGTAGTAATCAAAATCATGGTCCAAATTTTATGAAATGACAAAGTTTTTTGGGACAGAGGTAGCATCATTTTAGAAAAATTGAATGTTGAATTTAAGAATTATAGTTTTATTATACATAAACTCTAAACTTTTAATGTGTACTGCTCACATTTAATGTAATTCATATTTTTTATTATAGATAGAAAAATGGAGTATCAATATATGCAGGGATATTTTTTTTTATCATTGCTTCTTCTCAAAGAAATGCATTCACCCTACAGTAGAACATTGTACGAAGTACATGTGTAATTAATCTAATTATTAGTTGAGGCTCAACTCACTCCATTCATAAACTGTAATTCTGTAAATTGGCATGCTTTGACTTTCTAATCCTTGAAACTTTGAAAGAATCATTGTTGAGGTATAATAACCAAAGATTACTCAATTACTTTCAATTTGTATGAATTATGATGTATCTACTACGAAATAGAAAGGAGAATACATATCATCATTTTCATTTACCCCAGTGCCGCAAAGGCTCCCACCTACGAAATTATGTTGGAGAATACATATATACTCAACAAATCAAATAAGGAATCCGAACTGAATAAATTACAAGAAACAAAGGGAATGATGGATTACTTTGGAGGTTCCGCGGAAGTGAACACAAGAGCACCAAGCAGAGGAATAAGGCTCGCCGATGTTGTAAGGCAGACCCTTGAGGCCCGTGCGAGATCCGGGCACGACGCCTTTCGTGAATTTCAGCATGGTTTCCACTACGGCGATACCTGCCGGCAGCGGGCAGTCGGCAACGGTTGATCTGAATAAAATAGAAGGAAAAGAGGAGTGTAGAATGCCCGGTGTGCGAAACAGGGTATCCACGGTCTTTTTAGACTTTTACAAATAGCTCAAAGATTCAAGATTGAAATGGAAGTAATACACATTTTTCACTTTTAAAAAAAATCTAAAAATGGATTACAATTGTTCCAAAAAGGTATAATCTCCCAACTTATGAGCCTCACACCCTGATCCGACAGGATTTTTAGAAGAATGTAAGTCACGATGATTCAGTAGGCCCAATGATGGCAGGTCTTTTACGCATGCGCACTAGAGATTCAGCCCAGCACGCAGAAGCTGTAACCTCCACACGGCCGTTGCGGGTTTCGAACTTTGATCATTGTTCCAAATTTCCCACCGTTGAACCAACTGAGCTACCGTACGGGTCTAAAAATGAATTACAAAGGTTCTCTTAAAAATGAATGTTATTAACCAGACTAGTTTCAAGTTTTCAATTTCAAATCAAATTAAATAAATCATATCAAATTAGAATTCTATCTATGACGCCTCCGGAAAGTATTTATGGAGGGCATAATGTTTTAGAATATAAACACAAATTGGGACAATTATAGGTAACAAGTGATCTTAAGGAAAGCCTGCTATAAATTTGAAGACAAGATGCTTTTTTGTATAAATGTTCTATGAAAAATATTACTCATGAAAAATTATTGTTCATTCCCAACTCAAATTGAATTCTTATTTACACAATAATATGCTTTCACACGCTTTTTAGGGCTTATTCCCTGAATATTGTTAAACTAAATTACTAAACCTAATTTCCAAAAATATGACCATATTTACATTTGGACAAAAATGTGATCAAAATGGTTATATATTTGAAAACATGTGAAATTACTGCCAAATATTTATGTAACTGTCCATTTATCATGTCACTGTCGGACTATCGAATGTCATTGTCGCCGTTGGTCACCGTCGCCAGCCCCAGTAACACCACCACAGAGACACCGCCGCCGGCCACAGTGACACCTCTCTAGTGCTAGCGCCACAGTGACACCGCCGGCGGTCACAGTGACATCGCCGCCAGCCACAGTGTCACCGCCACTGTGGTGAAACCATTGTCTGGACCGTTTTCTTGTCAAATTTGCTACGTAAATGACTAGGCACAAATATGTAGCAGACGGTAGGTTTCATGTTCCATAGTATCTCAAATGGTGAGATGAAACCTAACCTTGGTTGGGGGAGTTTGTTGATCACATGGGCAGCAGTTTGCATTGCTTCAGCCCAAAACCTTCCTGGCCCATTTTTCGCATGTAACATGCTTCGACAAATTTCAGCAAGATGGCAATTCTTTCTCTCTGTCACATCATTTCGTTACGGCATGTTGGCACATGTGAACTGATGACGTATCCCACATTCCTGCATATATCGATTGAATTCTTTTGATGTGTATTCTCCTCCATTATTTGAGCGTAGACAATGGATCTTCATTTTTACTTCTACTTCGCCCATTGTCTTGAACTCTTTAAACTTTGAGAATGTGTCACACTTTTCTTTCATGAAGAAAACCCACACATATCTCGAGTAGTCATCAATAAAATTCACCATATACCCAGGGCCGTCTCCGGAAGTTTTGATGCTCAAGACAAAGAATGGCTCATAAGATCAAATAGTACTTAAAATTAATAACAAATTTAAATATGGAGTAATTAGAAAATTATTGCACCATTTTTTATTAAATGTAAAAAGTAATACTTGACTTAAAATTGATATAAAGTATATGAAAATATAAATTCTTCTAAGAAATAAATAAAAGGCGAAATTCATACCAATAATCTGTACTTTTAGTGGTTCTACACTAATAATCCCTACTGAAAAAATCCAACAAATAATCCAAACTTGTAAATTGGTTCACATAAATAAACTAAATAAAACAGAGGTAACTGTTTGTTTGATATTCCTTCATTACCGTGCCGCACCTCCCCTTCCATTTCTTCTTCTTGCTTCTTGTGCATATACTCATCTGGTCTCATCCCCCGCCACTCACTCTTAACACTCTAACTTCTTTCCCCCTCTTTCAATAGGTTTTTTCCATCTTCCACAAACACTTGATTTTGTGATTTATACTCTAATTTGTTGAGCTTTGTACTCCACCTATTTCTTGTGCATCAAGAATCTGATTGAGGATCCGCAGGCAGGGCTTCAATTTTACTTTTGGGAGCTGGTGTTTTACTTTTTGGTATTGGGACAATAAGTTCTCTCCTCTAAATTTATAGGTTCTTCACCTTTAAAATTAGGGACTTTAAATCATACAATTGAATACGAAGTATTCACAAGAGAGAAGAAAATCAATGCGACCATATGAAAAGAAAGAGTACGGCTAACCAAATCCATATGTTAAATCATTATTAGGGTATGGAGTGAATTGGTGTAAATGATTATAAAATCATACGGAACTGAACAAAATCAATTGTTTGGTTGATAGAAAAATTGGAAAGACAAAGAAGAGGAGACAGCCCATGAGGAAGATTGTGCGAAGTAGAAAACAGAAGAAGAAAAGTCACATCCGTTTCATTTAACTATTTGTATGAACGTGTTTAAGAGTATGTATTATTTATATCAATTTATTTAGTATCTATATATTATTAAAAACAGAATAGTGCAGGATCGGTTTGGGCGCCAATTTGAGGGACTTGTGCGAAGTACGCTTAGGTCTACACTTAAGTCAAAAAATTGTGTGACCAGGGTGTAATACACTAATCTGGAATATTCCATTTCGTTGGTTGTTTAGCCTCCCGGTGATGTGGTTCTCTAGGGTAATGCTATAAGGCTTACGGATCAAATAAAAAAAATATTCAATATGCTTTAGCATTAATGATGGAACACTTCTTGATATGCACGAAGTATACCGCCCACATTTTAGCTTTGGCTGTAAGCTTTAACTAATACGGAGTACATTCATTTGACCTTTGGTATTCCAATGCATTTCAAATATATGTTAATTAACTGTTGGTATGCCTTTAAGATCTTATTCCAATGCAACATCACATTTTAATATAAATAATTTCGATCCATTACTGTTTAGAATAGCCATGCTTTCTATAACACACCAATGTAAATATGCGAACAAGTGAAACATATACCTAAGAAAAAAATGAAACATATACCTAAGAACATGATCTCTTAGTGGACTTTGTCAAGAAATGAAGCTGAGAGTGGTGAACTGGACCTGCTCAACTTTGGCATAAAAGATGCACGAGAGCACTGTGTGCTGATGAAGGCTTTGTTGCATTCAAGAAAAACACAATTCTAACAAAGAAGTAAGCTTTTTTGGGTACATATCATGTCAAATAATTGAAATATGTCTTGTGTTGTCAAACGACATGGAAGTTGAGTTCTCGGTCTTTTGCATTTTAGCTCGATGCCGGCCAGGGCATAGGGGAAATTTATAAATTAGCGATTGCATTTTTCATCATCAAATGTTTGTCTTAAAGTAGTTTCTTCTTTCAAAAAACATCATTTAAGTTAAAGTGTATGTACATTTGACTTGCATTTTAAGCATTACAATGATTTTATATGGAACACCTCTGATGTATTTGGGACTGGAACAAGAAATTTAAGAGTGTCCTATGAGGACCGTCTTAATTAGATTTTTTGGTTCAAAGAAATTAAGTGTCTTATATATTACACTGCTAAATGTCTCTTTTAATGAGATTTTTTAAAGATAATGTTGTGGATCTATATCATACTACATACATATTAACATATGATGTTGTTGTAGATTAATTTGTGTTGGAGATTTCATGGAGAAGTAGCAAAGGAGATAGGAAAATGACAAAATTCAGCTATTGGTCTAGACCTTGAGATTAAGAACGCAACGGACCGATCTATACTTATGTGGCCTTAAAATGATGATGTTATTTTGCAAATATAGGAATTCTCTCCTTTACATGCATGCATGATTTTTTTATCTATTTCAATTTAGAAAATAGAATTATATCTTTTGTAAGGTAATCAAATTGGCATTCATTAGTAATATCTCTTCCCTTTAGTAGATCTTGGCATTAGCATTAATTACAATTATTGTACATTAAACAAATACGTAGTATCTTTTTTAGATGTTGGCTTATAATTTTGTATTATGTGCATTTACAATATTGTTTTTCAAACAGTTGAATGAGATTATTAACTTTGAGTATATATGTGGATTGTCATACAAAGAAAAAAATCAACTTTTGGTCCCATGACTATTATACCACTTCCACATTTAGTCACTTACTTTCAGATTGTCCACATTTAGTCCGTGACCATTATCCCCTCACCACCCCTCGTCCTTATGGCCAAAATTCCGGCAAAGTTAGTCCACTTATCAACCTCAGAAACAGTCTTTGCATTAAATTTTATATAAGGTTGGGTTTTTCATATCTCTCTTTGCATTAAATTTGGTTTTTCATACCTAAAATTTGCATTAATTTTGCCGGAATTTTGGCCGGAAGGACGAAGGGTGGTGAGGGGATAATGGTCACGGACTAAATGTGGACAATCTGAATGTAAGGGACTAAATGTAGAAGTGGTATAATAGTCACGAGACCAAAAGTGGAATTTTTTCTCATACAAATGGTCATATATTGTTATTGTTTATTATTTTATTCTTTTAGTTTCTTTATGTCTAGTGTTTTCACTACTACGCTCTACATTCTGAAATGCAAGATACTTTATGCTTGACATTATTTTAAAAATAATGATGATTTTGTTAATTATAGGAGTCCATTATCCTTAATGACAATGGTTGTGAATGTCAATGCTTCTACTCTAGGAAACACAGGTACTTAATGACAAGAATGTGTGTTTAAACTTTAAGAAAATACAGGTACTTAATATCTTCAACCATGATAGATTATATATTAGTTTTTCAAATGTTACTCATTGGATTATTAAATGTTGTATATGATAAAAATGATACTCATAATAGTAGAAGATCTTATTTGACTCTTTTCTCTTCTTTTGTATATGTGACTTTGCTTATCTTAACGCATATTACGTAAAGATTAAAAACATAACACATACTCCATATATGTATAAAAAGTAATCACCCCGTGCATCGCACGGGTACGATACTAGTGGATTAT